AAGAGGAGGAGCATGCCAGGAGAGGAGACTTCGTTGATGTCTTTAAGCATTCAAAGACCGAGATGTAGGTGGCGAGACCCTCCTACTTAGACCGAACTTCAGCTTGAGAATTCACAGCCTTCAGTTTAAAAATATGATTAACAGGACCATACTCCGGGTAAAGTTCTTCATTGACAGAGTAGCGGGTGACTGGATTAAGCCACCGGAGGAGGTGATAGAAGCCACGACTTTTATGGGCTCCAAACGCTGGTTCGATAGGGCTTGAAGATGAGTGTTTGTTTTAATGCATTGAATATATGAGCCAAAGCGCTCAAACATATCGATGGCATGAAGATTGAACGTCTTCATTATTACTTGTCCTATTGGAAAATCTTGTATTGGACCGTACCGTTGGTATCTCCTCTTCCTTCTGTCTACTTATTCCTATTGTTTTCCCGAAATTTTCAAAGTTTCTACTTTAGAACATTGCTTAAGTTTATCTCACTCACATCCGCTTTATGCATATCCCAAAGTCGTAAGCTTATCTCTTTACCTATTACCGATTTGACCGTCCTGTAAAATAGGATTTTAGATTACAACTGCTATCCCGAAAACGCAGGCTGGTAAACCTGAATCTGCTTGCCCTGACTCTAAGGAGGAGAGAACCCGACTGATTCTAGTGTTGCGTGGGATGCGTGGAGATCACCGGTGAAACTTAGAGTTTCTGACAGTCGTCTTATTCTTGGAAAAAAGCTGGACTGACCTGACCTCCGCATTTGTACTCCTCCTGAACGAACTGAAGGGACAAACTTTCTACAGTTATACCGTCGCCATTAACGCCTAATGAGAAATGAAACACTCAGTTTTCTTTTTATAGCGCACTGTTTTTCGGTCCTTCTTGCTCCACATTACATCAGTCATCTATTTTTCACAGATCTACGAACGAGCGTTTTCCGGATTAGTGAAGAAAGCCTTGGTTATGTTTCAGTTCATTGCCCAGTCCATCTTTTATTATTATACATGGTTGTTTTAATTAATTCATGTAAACTAGTTGAGAAAGACACTTATAAAGTCGCGACTATCTGCCACTGGTTATTTATTCCTGTTGTAAGACATAATACATGAGTATTAATCCTCCTGGATCATTGTGCCACAAGATTCAAACATGATTCGTTTTGATCAATCAATGCCGCTCTGGCTTTTGAGAGCAACAATATTAGTCATAGTTTCTTCGGAAAAAAATTCCTAAAATGCATATTATTATTTTTCTTATCTTGCATCCGGGACTCACGTACGTGGTCCAGCTATTAAAGAGGTGGGATTCGATTACTCAATCTTGCAAGGGTTTGACAACTCCATTTATGTACGTCCTGTACCGTTTCTTTTGATCTTTGGCTCAACGTTGAATTTTGAGCAATCTCTTTCGAATTTGTGAAATACACGTATACTACCGACAAATTACTAGTAGTAAAAAGCGACATCGCGTTATTTACGTGAATGGATTTCTTAACAAAATAATGATGCCTCATTCCCCATTTCTTTGTCTTATGCAGCTTCTGGCATTTATGGGGATAGGTGGTTCAGGAACACCACAAGAAATGGTTCAACTGAATTTAGATCGCGGACGAGACTATTCGAATGCCAAAACCTTGTTCATATCGGATTCGGACAAACGGAAGTACTTTATGTTAACCCTGAAGATGTTTTACCCAAACGGGAAAGATTTGGGCCAGTTTCATTCGCGTCGAATCAAAGTGATATCGAAACCAAGTAAAAAGAAGCAATCGCTGAAAAATACTGACCGTGAGTGAAGAATTACTATTTTTATGTTTGGTATGTTTCATCCTTATAAAGTAACAGAAATTCAAGGGACAGACAGTTGTGCTGAAGATCTGAAGAGGAGCGTCCCTGAGAAGATCACCGTGGGGGGGGGGGGGTTACAACCAAAGTAAGATGGAAGTCACGGATCATGAAGCGAGAGACGGATAAAATTTCAAGTATAAAACCATAAATGAGAAATTTCTGAATTTCCCAAACACAGAAAGAAATTGACCCGACCAACATAAATTGTGGCCAATTAAAACACTAGATACCTAAAATTTGCTGATTGCTTATCGTTTTAATCTTATATGTTTACTGTGGGACAGGATTCTGAAGGATTAGTCTGAAGATTCCCCCTGAGAAGTGGGGACGACCTTTCTATGTAGTTAGAAGGTTTGAAAGTTTAGTTGTGTGCAGCTAACCATTAAGGGAAGTTAGAAGGGTCACGTTGAAGTATATAAGCGACCGAAGCATCAGCGTGGGAGATTCTGAACGCATCGTCTTTTACTTATTAGCAGGGAATTTCGGTGGGTATGCACAGAAGAAATATATATGGAAAAGAAATACGGAGATAGAATGCTACCCGGTGCTACGTCTACTGCGGAGATTGAGATTGGTATCGTGTAAACTGTGAGAAATTTATGAAATAGTCTAAGATTACCGCTGGAAAATGAGATGTTCATCGACCTAGATTTGTCAAAATTTAAGAAATATGTTCACGGTGAATCCTCTCATACAGATTGCTTCATTGAAGTGCCATGATGTGTGGTTCTTGAATGTTCCTTAGGGGCAAAACCAAAAACGTTCAAAATTAGTGTGCTCCAATTACAGATCACTTGATTTAATTCAACACATGTTTCTTTTGTGCAAAAATATTGCAGAAAATTGTCTCAGTACTGTACGACGAGATACCAATCATAACTGTCATCACCTGGTATTCCCATGTGTTCGTATCACCCTTTCCCATGCTCTGCATTGTAGGATAAACAGTATAACGCGCTTTGGTGATTCCGGATGGGTTATTTTAGATGGCTTAAGTCACTTTCAATCTATGCATTCCTTTCTGCTTCTGATATTCCAATATTTCAAACCCGTATTTCGTCACAGTTTGTATCGCATCCGGCACCAAAGTGGCCCTATTCAACCGACTCCGATCGCAAACCGTGAGCACACGTTATTTACATGTGGAGGATGCCAGTTTCCATGCCAGTTCAAGTCGATGGGGCGCATTTACCATCAACCTGTTGTCTGATGATGAACATGAGGCCGAACAATTCACTGTTCAAGATGGCTATATTCACTATGGTCACACGGTCAAGTTGGTCTGTTCGGAAACCGGGATGGCACTGCCTCGTCTGGTATGTTGTTTTTCTTCAACTTTTTCACTGCTTCCAAATCAATCAATCAATCAATCGATCAATCAAACAATCAATCAATCAATCAATCAATCAAATAATCTGAGTGTACTGAACAGGGTTCATCCATCAATAATGATAGATTTCGCCATATTCAATGACAGTCCAAGTTTTAGTGAATTCGTTTTTCTGCTTCTTTTATGTCTTTTCGTTGAATTTAGTGCAGGTCTATTGAATTTTGTTTATCAGGAGTTCTGGCTCATCCTATAGTCAGAGTCTCAAATATTCCAAGTACAATTCTCGGTTTCGCAGCTACAGACGTAATCGATNAATCGATAGTTAACCATTTCACATCATTAGCTTAGGTTTCTGCGTAGCTTGAACCAAGCTACGAATGTTCTACCAAATAAAGAAACAAACTGAGGTGAATTGTGTCGCGTGACCTTTTGGGGATCACTGCATTTTTTATTTATCTAATATCTCTTAGTTCTTTGAAAGATGAATGAGCAAAAAATCGAGTTAATGTGTCTGTTTTTGAAGTTGAAATATTAAAAACTTTCTGTATTTGAAATACCGGTTGCCATACTATTTCAACCGCAGTTAACTGATTTCACTAACTCGGGTTCAGCCCTACACATTTTATCAATCCGCAGGACTTGTGTCGGATTAGACAGACTAGTTTATTGCTAAAGTGACATGACTAGTGGGTAAATCGGGTTGCGTAGAATGAAACAGATGATCTGAAACAACTAAGTCACGGTTTCATGAAGGATTCTGGACCTGTTTTCAAGCAATACATCGGTTTGTTTGCATCTTCTGTTGTAACAATATTAAAACAAATTATCTGTACATGAATGTCCTGTTCATTTTTAAATATTGTAGGAAACCGCCAATCTCTGTCTCATACTACCCACTTTGTATGAAACCTAGCTCAACATGTGTACCTGATAAATGGCGAACGGTGCGTGTCCAGCTTTACGAAATCATGATATGATCGAAACTTTTTCAACAATTGTGTTGATGAGAGCTCTATAATTTTGTTGTTTTTGCTTTTATTGTTCATCGTGTGTGCTTTTTACTTCCTTGTGCTTGCAGATTGTCCGAAAAGTGGATAAAACCACCGTGCTTCTGGATGCAGACGATCCGGTCAGTCAGTTGCACAAATGTGCATTCCATCTGAAAGACACAGATCGAATGTATTTATGTTTGTCGCAGGATAAAATCGTCCAGCTTCCTGCGACCGCATGCGAGGACAATCCGAATCGGGAGATCATCACAGACTCCGCGGCCTGGACCATTATTAGCACGGATAGGGCCGAATATCGTTGGTTCGAGCCAAGTCAATTGAACGTGGCCGAAGTGAAAAAACATGCAGTCGCTGCCGCTGCGGCTGTAACGGCCACATCCGCGTCCGGATCTTCTTCGGTCTCGAGCACGTCTGTGCATATCCCGTCAATCACAGGCCCGGTCACCCCAGTCCCGCTGGTTCGTGATATTCGAGTGAACGGAGGAGGTGATGTGGCAATGATTGAACTGATCGGAGAGAATTTCAGTCCACGACATCAAGTCTGGTTTGGTGAGGTTCCCGCGCAAACATTTTACCGTTGTGAAGAGTTGTTACTCTGTTTTGTTCCCGATATCTCGGAGTTCTTTCGAGATTGGACTTACATACAACAAGCGCTGGAGGTAAGCATCAGATTTAGTCTGCACTTGCACCTCTTCTCTGAGGGTATATTGTTGTGGGTCGGACCGATGTTGGATTCATTGTTAAGGTTATAGTGGATAGTGGACGGAAGAGTTAATTGACACAATACTCGGTTAGATTAGCACAATTAAGTTATCCATTCATGCTACATTATGTGATATGGACTGACCAATGTTATGCCTGTTGTTTCTTATTGCTTATCAACTAGTTCTGATTTTGTAATTGTCTGCATTTAAGGTAAAAACACTTGATTGGATTAACACATAATAATAGCGAAGCTTTCTGCCAAAATGTTGGAAAGCGTCGACAGGATTCACATGTCGCAGTTGAAATCCGGCGCATACCCATTACAGCGCTTTGAACGGCTCGATCTCCCGCACTCGTAGATTATATCTTAAAATTTTTTTGAATCGTATTGTTCTTTTACGGTGGAATTGGTCTTTTCAAAAGGAGTTAAACTGGCTGATTGCTGTGAATGGTAAAACGAGCGTACAATAAATAATAGTAGTCACCTACTCTGGTTTAGGCAACCTGGCAGTATTCCGCCCTCTTTTGAAAATAAAAATTAATGTACTGTGATTTGTTTGGTACACATTCTCGATTCAGAAGTGTGTGAAATAAAAGCGTGTAAAAACAATATATGGTAGTAAGGAAAGAGAAGTTAAGAATTTTCATATAAGACAGTAGGTAAAATTGTTTTAGTCCTCAGCCCTCCTTGGGTTATTTTTACCATATTACCTCTCACCGAAGAATTTTTTGTCAACTTCTTTTCGTTCATTCATGGTTGCCGCTCAATTTATCCTTAGGTTCCCATCACTCTGGTTCGTCATGATGGCGTGATCTATTCGAGCGGCCTCACATTCACTTACCATCCGGAAGCTGGTCCTCGACCTCACTGTCAACCTGCGTTGGACATTATTAAAGCGGCCACTCTGGCTGCGATTGCATCGGCTGCGGCATCCAAATTATCCCCAGATAAAGTTCCCCCAACTACTGATCCTCATTCCGGACCCGGCACATTGGATACCTCTGCATCGATCGGTGCGCAGTCTGCTTCTGGGCCCTACCCTCCCTATTCGACTTCCGTCACTGATAATCCAGATCCTATGCATTCATTTTTGTCGCATCAAGGACGTTCAGGTGATAGTTATCATCAACACATACAACAGCATGATGTGACCACGTCATCTGCAACAACAGAATCATATGCATCCGCATCGACCGATCATTTGCGACTTCGTTTCGGATGTCCGACATCCACCAGTGCAGACATTTCCGGCCCTTACGTGAGTAGTGTTGACAGATCTTAGCTCCCCTCCCTCACAATATCGACCATTTTCAGTCTTATCCGTACGCTCGTACCTTCCTTTTCACCCTCCCCGTGGGGGAGAGTAACTTACATGTACAGCCAGTTGCTTATTTCACTGACGAAGTGGAAATTGTACTTTTTTCAGCTGTATGCTACCATGCCTGCGCATCGTGCTGTGAAGCGATCAGTCTACCATTCATCATCTGGGTTTTCAACCCGTTTCTCTATCCATCGGATGGTCTGCCTGCCTATTTGGTAATCGATCTCTCAATTTACTCACCTGTGTGCCTCATCCCGATCAAACTGTTGAACTCACCTCCCCCCAGACTCGTTTCCTTCCTCACGTGCCTTGACCGTTTCTCTGTTTCTTGCTCGCACTCGTGTCATGAATGTGTGTTTGGATGGGTTGACAACGTCTGAGTCACACATACACACATTCGGATCTGACATGGATTGTAATCAACTGTGACTTACTGAATGCGTCGAGGACGAGAGAGAGAGAGAGAGAGAGCGATAGGGCAAAGAAGCACGAACCCTAGAAACAGCAGCGTGATTCCGGAATCGTGACAGAGACATGCTTGTTTGTTTGTGCACGTTTGTACTTTTGCTTGTTCGTACACCATTTTGTGTACAATTTTGTGCCTCTACAGAAGGATTTACACACATCCCGTCCCTACGCCAACCCCTGGGACACCACAGGGGCCTGCCATCGACAGCAAAGGCAGCAGCACAACGATCCACTAAGACACATCAGTCCACCTCCTTCTCCAAATATTCTGCTGCGAACGGGTCTTGTAAATATACCTATGCCTCGATTTGAATATTAAATCGTGATAATTTGATACGCTGGTTCTCTTTTGCTCTATAATCAATTATTTTCGACCATAGATTAAAAATTCCTTGGGAATGCGTTTTCTGCAAACGTTCAACCCGATCATTCATGTATTCTCTTACTCATTCGCTTGCACTTACTTTTTCATATTAGTAGCATTCGGGGATAAAGCAAGATGCTTCCTAAAATAGCACTCTGGTTGAAGTTTCTTCTTATCGCAGTGTACAAGTGTGAGAACAAAATACAGAGTTGGCGGAAAAGAACCGCACGATTTCCAACTGTTGATAATTACAAATAAAGATTGTCGGTCTCGAAATCCGCCAGTGTTGGTTGACCCAGCGCATGTGTTCATGCATGTGCACACCCGAAAGCAAGGGGGTCACAAATATGGATTGAAGGCAAACTGGCGAAATCAGTACATTACTGTGTTCGCCCACGGGCATCGGTTAGAACAAAATGTGACAAGGATGACTGCGAATTCACATACAGGGTTGGTTTTTGCAATCACATAGATGAGCCATCACGACGAGACTGCACCTTGACGTGGCGTGAAGGCTTGCACGCCTCCATGACCATGCGAACTGTACAGGATAGCTCCTTACAGCCGCGGCTCATTCTCACAAGGCCGGCGGCTTGGACACCTGACTCCCTTGGTCTATCCACTCGCGTCTGTAGATGTCACTCCAGAAAGTAAACACTGAGGTGAGATCCGTTCCATCCATGGATCTCGTGTGACTGTGAGGGGCAGTTTACCGGTAAAAAACACCGCTAGATGGAAGTGAGAGAGGGGTACCTGTGCACGATAGGAGAAGTCTTCGCACTTCATTGAGCATCTACCGCCCACCCAAGTTGGGGATTCCCCAGGTAATCAGGTGCTGTCCCATCCACTTTCCACTTGTCTCATTGGTTGCATGAGACCTAGGGTCAATCCCGAACAGCGGACGACAAGCAACGCACCAGCGAACAAAACACACACGAAACCCAACGGTCTTGCACGACAGGTTTTTAGAAGCTCCCACATGGGTGTTTCGGCCACGCTCCCGCGTTGGATCTGTGCTCCACTGCCTTGTATGTCAGACTTTTGAGTCAAAGGCTCCGTCCAGGATTCCCAAAGAAAAACCCCTTCGGTGTGGGCTACCGCAACGTATGTCGTGCCTCAAGTTCTTAGGTACCCATTTGGAAAACTCTCTCGTCTTTCCATTTATGTCTTTCACTCTCAAACCCTAGGAGATGCCTCCTTTATGCAACATTGATGAGATATCACTGAGTGTTCAAGTATTAAGGTCGACCAAACAGAAGCTGTAAGAGTTTTGAAGCCAAAATCTCCATTCCAATTCCCCCATTTATTGTTCATACACTCTATCAGATCGGTAAACAAGCTGTCTTTTCTAGAAACCTTGAAACGTTCAATCTAGATGTTCACCTTATCCCCTAAACACGCAGACAAGACCTTACGTCAGTCAGTCAGATCCGACCTCATTCTCAGGCTTCACTCTCAATGTGTCAAGCAATTCGACATCCGAAGCTCGCTGTGTTGCTGATGTTGGGATTGCGAAGAGTATCAAGATCGGGCTTTCACTTCTCGAC